TCATAAATACGAATTTTCCAAATATCTCTACGCCGGCGCCACCTATCGTGCAAATATTTTTTTTTTTGTATTTCTTCGACACCTGCCTAGTGATTTATTCATCTTAGAATCGATCACGAAAAGTGAAAGTCAACATTTCTTGGTAGAAACGAAATCACCAATGATAAAAAGTTTTGAAATTTTTTTTCCAAAGTTCATAAATTCATATAAAGCACATATGTAATACTTCTATATTGGCAGTAACTAACTTTTCAATGATTAAGCACTCCGAAATCAAAGCGAGACAGTCTATTACCGTTTTTTTGAATGTATTGTGTACTTGAGTGTCGTTTTTGTGCATGTGTTGTGTACATGTTTATTTATAAACATACATATGTGTTCCTTTTCTTCCGTACCTGTTTATTGATATATCTGTACTGTAATGTTTTCGGACGGTACTAGCTCTTACTGCCAATATAGGAGCATTACATATATGATATAAAGTATTTAAAAATCTTGGGGAATTTTAAGTTCAATTAAATTTCAAATTCTGTTTTTTTTTTATTTTTGCTTTAACGTATTTTTTTTTGAACGAGACCAAAACCACATTTTTAACTATAAAAGTTGTTGAGATATTAAAAATAAAGAAAAATTGGAGAATCCCGGAAATTGTGAAACTTAAAAAAAAATGTATTTAATTTCTTTCCTTTTGTAGAATTTCGTTATATGATTTAAAACAAGTAATATTTAAGCAAAAGACAAAGCTTATATACAAATTTAAGAGTATCGTTAATTTCTTCATGATCAATATTCAGATCTAAAAAATTATTATGGGACCAGCTCTGAGGTGTCACATTTCCTTTAAAAAAAGGAATGCAGAAATCGGTTAACGTGGTTCAATGTTATGCGGTAACATACATAAAAAGAAAATATTCCGACGAATTGATAACCTCCTCCTTTTTTGCAGTCGGATAAAAATTAAAAAGTTCAGACCAAAATACATCCAATAGAAAAATGGTCGATTCCAACTATTGGTCCATTCGACATGGATTGTACATTTTTAGTAAGTTGTACACACACTACTATTCAAAAAGTTGCTATTCAATTTTTGCACAAATTTTTGCTTCAGTGCCTTAAACACACATACACATACACACATGCAAATTTATGTTGCAAAGTCGACAGCAAAACTTTTGAAATAAAATACCATTGCAGTACTTGAGAAAGTAAACGAAAAGTCTTAGCAAAAATAACAACAACAACAAAAAAATACAAGTATGTAAGAATAAAGCAAAAAAAGTGTAATTTTCTATTGAATTTGTGCAAAACTGAAACGAAGCCTGTTTAGCTACATATTTTTAAAGAATATATTTTAGTAAGCTAGTGATTTACAATATGCAAATACATACATACATATATACATACACATGATATACATATATAGGCATACAAACAATACATAAAAATGTAATAGCAATAAATGTATAAGTATTCAAGCGCAATAATCATACGTGCACATATACATACATACATATACAAAATGTATATGTATATATATATACAAACATAGCTACACATACATGTAAATATACCGGGTATCTTAGACCACCCGTCCACATCTTCTAAAATGGAGGAAAATGCTTTCTATTGGAAAACGCAAAACTACGAAGTTTAGTCGTACTACCGACTTCCAACTTAAACTGGCCGGAATTCCATGCTTTTAAATGGGGCATACATATGTATATATTTTCATTACAGTTTCTGAATTTTTGGACAAAAATAAATAACTTTTGTTTGAAACCTTTTTCTCGGAAGTACCTTTTTTAACCTTCGCACTTAAATTCGTCCTGGAGATCGAAAATCGTGGAAACTGATTTTTATTTAACTAGTCGGAGATGCTCTAACTTTTGATCGTATTACCGACATCGGTTTTCGACCCTAAATAGATTAAACAGACCGGAAGTCCGTTCTTTTAACTGAAAGTCCATTCCAGTAAAAAGTCTCCCACAAAAGTTATGTATTTTTGAACGCAAAATCCGAATCTGTGGTAGAAACATGTATGCCCCGTTTAACCCATTTCCGGTAGAAACCAACCAGAAGCCCGTATTACGATCAAAAAAAAGAGCATCCCCAACTTGGTAATTAATCTTTTTGCGTTTCTTTTCCCAATAAAAAACATGTTCCTCCATTTCAGAAGAGGTCTAGGAAATATATTGAAATTAAGTACATAAACACTTAGATACATACTTACTTATGTATATTCAAATTATAGGGTCTGGTACGATACGTCGAAATTTAAATTGTCGAAACTAAAAACACCGAAAAAAAAATGTCGAAAAAAAATTTTTAGAAAATCAAGAATGTCGAGAAAAAAATTGTCGAAAGGAAAAATGTCGAAAATAAAAAATGTCGAAAATAAAAAAGTCGAAAAAAAAAATATCGAAATAATGTAATGAATGATGTGTAAAATTCGCGCGACAGGTTGATTTATTTAAGTTAAATTCCACTAATCCTATGTACTAATATAATAAATGTGAAAGTTTGTGAGTGAGTATGTTTGTTGCTCGTTCACGCTAAAACGTCTGGATAGCGGAGGAGAAGCTCGGCCAAACACTAACATATGTGTAAGCGCCAATCTATTATTATTATTATTAGATATAATATTCTAACATATAAAATATTTTTTGGAGTTGCCACCTCTTTCAAAAAAAACCCGATTAATTAACAAGTTTAACAAAATATTAGCAAGCGAAAGCGGTTCAGAAACTATATATTTCGGAAGTATTTTGTAATAGGGTTGCCGCCTGTTAAAAAAGTTTAAATCAATTCTTTGAAAAAGTTTAAACGAAATATTTTAATGTGGGTATCAAACGAGAATGCTTTATTGTAGAAATATTTTTAGAGAGTTGCCATCTTTTCAAAAAGTTAAAATCAATTTAAATAACACGTTAAAAAATTTTTTTCTGCGTAATTTTGCAGAACTTTCTTTTTCCATCTTAGGAACTCTAGAACATTTGAAAATCTACTCAGAACACTTTTAATTTTTATTTTTTTCACACATTCAACTTTTTCGACTTTTTTTCGACAATTTACGCGTTTGCATTTTTTTCGACCTTATTCATTTCGAAAGCATACGATTTCGACATTTTGCGTTTCGGTTAAACATTATTTCGAGATTTAAAAAATTTTTAAATTTCGACATTTCTCTTTCGACATTTTTATTTTCGACTTATCGTACGGATCCCAAATTATATTAAAGAAAAAAAATAAACAATAATAAAAATTATAATGATCTGAGTTCATCGAAACTATTCACTTGAAAAAGCTTCCGTTTTTTGACGCCAGTGTGATAATAGGTTTGTTCCACAAACTACTCAAAGTCACTTCGAGTTACACAAACGCGTTCCACCAGTACATTTTAGAGTTTCTTTGATATGCGCTCACAGTTTGAACTTTGCTTGAGTTTTTCTACTAGTAGCTTGTGGAAGAAACCTAATAGTGAGACCTAAAAATGTTACGTCTTAATTCGGTTAGGTTAGAAAGGCGTATTCGAATGACTAGTACGCCCATAGTAAATGCTCTCCAGAAGGAGGCGCATCCTTCTAACCGAAGTTCTTGTCAGTATAGTGTCTGCTTAACCATTTAATAAACCGAATGAAGCTATGGAGCTCCTATATTTTCACCACCGCTATTTTCCCTAACTATTAGAAAATCGTAATTCCAAATGCTTGAGAAACCTTATCCGGAAAGCAGGCCAGTGGCATAGAAAATGGAGAATCGGTACCTCACCACGACAACTTCTGGAAAGGGAGTTTCTTAGTATTAGTGCTACAGAACAATGCGCTGTGATGACGTGGCGCGCCGGTAAGAGCCCTTACTGCAGATTCGTATAGCGGCAATAATTCTTTAGTACGACTTTTATTAACTCTCGGCCATAAGGATCATGAGATTTTACAATGGTCCCGATTGATTCATACGACATTATTTACGGTTGTGATGCATTCTTCGACCCACCTTAATAGAACAGAAATAGGTGGTAGTAGGGAGTTATAGGCTTCGCCCATTTGCCATCTCACCGACTATTTCGTTGCGTTCGATATTGATATGTCCTGGAACACAGCAGCGAAAGTTTTTGATGTGACTCACTAAATCTAGCGATCCCTGGCTTTTCCAATCTACTTTCGAATTTACCAATGAATATAAGGACGTTTCCTAAACGAAACTTACTATTCCGTATGGAACAAGCCGCTTTCGATTTGATAAAGATCTTCACCTGAAAGACACTGCAGTTTACAAGCAGGCGGTGGGATTACCTTATGTGCAGGTCATTGGAGTATAGACCCGTGCCGAATCCTTTTTCCATCATTGAGCCATCAAAAGTGGAAAAAAGAATAATTTACCGACTGCAGGTCGCCTGCCCAATCTTCCTTAGTTGGAAAATGTATGAAAATCTTAAAACTAAAAACCTATAATAATAATAGTCAGTTTCGACTTCTAAGTCGGCCTTGATTCCGTTACGCCATCCACTATTAATTACATTCAAGACCGCTGCCTACACGCAAATGGTCTGCTTCCACAATTCCGATTTCCTTAGTCTAACAGATGCGCCTGTTACGAGGTGGCTTCTTGTGGTCCACTTATTCACTTCTCCCAGGTCGGGCTAGCTCAACAGCTTACTCCGCATCTCCAGCTCGGTAAGTACTTGTCCTACATATGGCCAAAGGTCCTGCTGCTCTTCGCATGCCCTAGATATTTTGAGACCTATGATACAAAATGATCATGTTCAGACCCAAGTCAAGTTTCATAAATCACCATTTTTGCTACTGCCACGCAGGTAATTAAATATATGTATTTTATATGCTCCGTTTAACACAAAATATTTGCATATACGAGTATATAGCACAACAACAAAAAATGCAAATATTTATACATTTAAAAGATGTACATAATATTTTCTTATTTTCCGTTATTTTTTAATAGTTCCCAATTCTTGTAAATCGCAGACTTTTGGAATTTTAACATTAGCAATATTGCCGGCAGATTTCGTCGACCAGTTTCTTTCGACGCTTCTTCAGATTACCGCGTATATTTTGCGAGTCGATAATGTAGCAAATGAGATCATGCAAGCTCTCGAAACATAATAGTCCAGCTGTACCGCAATTGAGATCCAAATAACGGAAACGATTCACATTGCATGTACAGCCGTCGAATAGGAAGTAGATTTTATGATGACAGGAACGACCACGAAAGACCACATAATTGCCCCAAGATGTCATTGTGAGTATACGATCGGCACATTTGAAGCCGGCGCGTAATAGTTTACATATGCTCTCATAAGTGCCGCTCTCCGACCCAACAACTGCCATATCGTAAGCCACACTCGAATAGCCGGGATAATGATTGGGCCTGCATGAGAGTTCTTGGACGCCCGATTTCTCATAACGATCGCCGGGACCATAACAGCCATCACGTCCATCGGAGCCTTCAACATCTTTGTGCAAAGTATCATCACCTTCGCGACGTCTTCTTTCCTCATCGCGCAAAATTTCACTTGGCGTGCGTTTATCCTTATCCTTATCGGCATCTTTGTGTTTGTCCTTATCCTTGTCCTTGTCCTTGTCCATGTCCTGGTCCTTGTCCTTGTCCATGTCCTGGTCCTTGTCTTTGTCTTTATCATTGTCCTTGTCCTTATCGGCCTTTTCTTTATCTGCTTTTTCTTTGTCTGCCTTATCTTTATCAGCTTTGTCCTTATCAGCCTCTTCTTTATCAGTATTTTCTTTGTCTTTGTGCCTTTTCTCCTTATCCTTTCTATCTCTCTCGGCTTTCTCCTTCTCAGACATTTCTTTATCAGACTTATTCTTTTCCTTCTTACCTTTGCCACCCTTCTTATTAACTTTCTCGACCTCTGATTCATCCTCCCCTGACATCTTTCCTTTTTTACCTTTTTTCTTCTTATTTTCCTTATCTTTGTCTTTCTTTCCCCTCTCCTTGCTTTTGCCCTTACCCTTTTTTTCCTTATCTGTCTTGTCACCTTTTGCCTTTCCCTTCTTCCCCTTTTCTTTGCCTTCTCTCTTCTTACTCCTTCCACGGCTGCCATCACCATCTCTTCCTTGTCCCTTTTGCTTTCGCCCTCTGCTCTTCTTTCTTCTGTCTCTACCATGACGGTGACCGTCATCACTAGAGGACGATTCATGGTCGCCGAAATCTTCCAATGCGCCTTCCTCCTCCTCTAACTCTTCCTCAGACTCTTCGGTCTCACTCCTATCTCGCATATCCATCTGTATTATACCAGATGTAATGTCGTCCTCCTCCTCATCATCCACGGCCAGATCGAGCTTGCATTTCGTTTCGTCCTCTTCAAAGCAAAGTGTCTCATTTAGCGACTTCACCTCAAAATCAGCATTGAGTATTGGCTCATCCTGCGCTGGTGCACCTTCCTTGCGCGACGACAATTCGATATTATTGATCTTGAGCACATGCACGGCAAACTGCGTTGTGCGGTTCGTCTCCAAGAGCATCTGAGTGAACACTTTCAGGAGCACTTCAAGTGAGCTAAACATTCGCAAAGTTGCCTTCTTTTTTATGACCGCACCCTCCTCTCCTCCCTCCAGTAAGCCCTCCACTCGGTGACGATATGGATCGAACAAGTAAAAGAAGTTGTTCTTCTTGAAAACTGCGTAAATATTCTGATCGATTTGCACTAACAAGTTGTTGTCGCCGGCATCGAAGCTACTGATCAACGCAGATTCGAGCTCACTCTGTTTGAAATTAGGCACACACTTCCAAGTGCCCGTAAACTTACGCGGCGTAAGGGTAAATGCAGCTTTGAATTGTGCGATTTTCAGACGATTCGGAAAACGATCGATTTCGATGGGCATCTTCGCCTGTAGACACTGCTCCCAACAACAGACGCAGACATTCACGCCATAGCAAATGATTTTATCGAGTATTTTCTCATTCCAAGTCGCCGGATGATCAATCTTGGCCGCGAGTAAAGCCGCCACGCCCACTGGTAGTGCGCTTCGCGTGCGAATTGGATCGGTGCTATTGCGTAGTAGATGTGAGTCGGCCTTCAGCACAGCATAATCGTCATTAATCACCTGGTACTGATGTTCGCGCTTACCAAAGTCACGACTCATGGTTTTGCCATCTTTCCCGATGAGCTTCACAATTTTCATTTCGCGCAAATTGAAAGGATCGGTGGGCTGTATGCCCGATAAATTACTAATCAAGTGTATGACATTGTCAAGCGCCCTGAGACAGATCAACATCGCCTTGCCATTCTCCTTGTCCGTCTCCAAATCGTCCAGCTTGCGACCATACAGGTCCAATACGAAATAGATGCCGCGCGAACGCCAAACCATTTTATAAGTCCCCGCTACCTTGATAAGGCAGAAGCGATGCTTTGAAAAGAACTTCTTCATTGCGACTTTCAAGTTATCCATTGTCATATCAGGTGGTGGTCCGTCCTCCGTGCCGATTGGTGGTGGGCCAAACCACATTTTTTCACTTAGTTCTACTTCAAAATCGATATCATCTATGGTGTGCCAACGCTTGACTTTGCCTTCCATTTGCGAGTAGATATACGCTGGTGATTCGTCAGTATGCTGCGAGTCCGGTTGCTTGGCTAGTAAAGTTTGACCCTCCCTAATGAGGTCATCTAGGGTATCCTCACTCCAATCGCTTTCCGGTGTGGTATGGAGTTTCATAAATGCCAGCAGCGTCGTTGCATACCGATGAGCATGTACATTTGCTGTGGTGGATTTCATGGAAATGGTGGCCTGTAAGACGCCTACCGGCGAACCAAGTGTATTCGGATTGGTACTGCTCCTACTTGACTTGCCTACGATACGGGGAGAACGGATGAATCGCAATGAAAGTCAGAAATTGGGAATTTTATTTATTGCCAGACTTACGCGGACTGCACGCCTTGGGATCTGGACCTGGCGCATTCAAGTCATGTCCACCGAAAATACTACACATTCTCGGCATGCACAGGCAGGTAGACGTACAAGGTGCTTCGTAGAACTTAGCGCTAAGGGAGAAATAATATTGTGAGGTGCCATGGCGAAAAAAAATTAGCGCTCACATCGGTGGGATCGGCTCGCGTTTGCATGGTGGGCATTTTGGTGTACAACAAATTCCATAGTCACTTCCTCCGAGTTTATTGTCCTGATTCATTTCATTTACAAGAATTTTAGAATTTTGTTATTTTAATATTTTGCGATTTTTTTTAAATATAATTTATTTATAATTATACTTATATTGATAGAATTTTTATTATTCGTCTAAGTTTTTGACAACTTAGAAATGGGTTGTTAAAATTTAAAAATTTTGTGTTTTTGAATTTAATATTTTTAGCGGAATTATGGACTGCCGTTTAGTTCAACTGCCTTGGCTATTGCTCATAGCTGAATAGCCAGAATTTTAGCAGGGATTTATGTGCTTAGTTTTGTCATGTGAAGGAAACAGGTTCAATTAAAAAATATACTTTTTTTATATACACATCAAAAAACCAACAATATAGGTAGAGTCAAAAGGTATGTGTACCGTAAGCCGATACAAAATACCTTTATCGTATCGTTTCCACGACAGTCGGGTCTGAGTATCTGTCCATCACTTCATCAACACTCCCCACAAACTCTTTGGATGGCTGTGTTGTTGTTGTAGCGGCTACAACAACCCCGCCCATATCGGTTAGTCCCTCAATCGTTGTCGTCAAGCTCTAATAGCGGTAATCCCTGGAAGAGTGCAGCCTCGATGGTGTCTGTCCACAGGGGCAGGGGCGTCAGTAGGGTGGAGTCCAATGGGCAAGCGAAGAGATGCTGCGAATAATGGGGCGTCTCTCCGCATGCCGGGCATTCGTTTAGTACATCTTTGTTTAATCTACTCAGGTATGAGTTCAACCTGCTGCAGTAACCAGAGCGCAGTTGGACTACTGTGGTCTGAGTCCCCCGAGGCAGACGAAGCTCTATCTCGTCCACGTCTGGTGATTGTATGTCCAGAACAGCATTCATAGGTCGGAGTCTACATAACTCGAGACTGTCTGTTCTTGTGTTGTTGTTGTAGCGCCTACAACTGCAACTGGGACTCAAACGGTGGTCGAGACTGCCCCTCTGTGTATGGCGTTCAAGGCCTGTCGATAAGCTGTCAGGTCCAGAGGTTGTTCGTAGAGATGCCTTCCGACGTGCCTGGGCGAGGGCTCTTCAGCAATCAGTTGTCTATTTGGGTGACCTCGTCGTGAGCATATGGGCCTCGTCTTGCAGGTGATGTTACGACGACATCAAAAGGCATCCTGTCGCTGTACTGAGTGTCGGGTTTTTTCGCAGGTCTGCAGATTCATCCACTGCGTCCTACTAGTTCCCGGCGACCACACTGGTGCTGCGTAATTAAAAACCGGCCGGCCTATTGCCTTGTATGTTGCCAGCAAGTACTGCCGGCTAGCGACTTGAGGACCTTGCTGCGGCTCTGTACTTTATTGACAATAGCGGTTGCGTGCGCAGAGAAGTAGAGCAGACTGTCGAATGTTACTCCGAGTATTTTGGGGTTATTCACCGTCGGAATTGGTGTATCATCGACGTGAATTCATCGCGGTAGCCTGACTTCCTTCGTCCAAGTGGTGAAAAAGGTCGCAAAGGATTTCGTAGGGAGAGGGCTAGGCACTTTGCAGTGAAGAAGCGAAAAAGCCGGGAGAGGTACCCGTTTACTTTCGAGCACAATTCATCAATTCCATTCCCAGTCGCCATGATCGAGCAATCGTCGGCGTAAGAGACAGTCAAGACTCCCTCTGGGGGTTGTTTTATTTTTCTGAGTTTGCTCGATTTGTCTGTAAACATTACCGACGAGTGTCGACCACTCAGATAATTTGCCGACCACCGTTTGAGCCTCTGTGGGAGAGACGAAGCCTCTATATCTTCTTGTAGCGTGGAATGGCTGACAGTCTCAAACGCCTTTGACAGGTCCAACGCTACTAGAATAGTTCTCTCACAGAGACGGTTACGGTTAAGGCCACGAGTTATCTGAGTGTTTATGGCGTTAAGTGCTGTTATTGGACTATGCACTTTATGGAAACCATGCTGATGCTTTACTGGGGTCAGGTGGTTCGTGAAATACGGGTGCAACAAGGCCTCTAGTGTCTCCGCTGCCGGGTAAAGGAGTGTTATCAGTCGATACGAATCTCCTTTGTTGGCTGGTTTCCCCGGTTTGACAGTGGGACCACTCTTCCCACCTTCCAGATGTCTGGGATGATAAGAGTGGCCATTGACAAATTGAGGACCTCCGTTAGGTACGCTACTCCCACAGGACCCACATTTTTCAGCATCGACATGCATATTCCGTCGGGACCCATGGCTTTGGAGACTTTCGCCTTCCCGATGGCCACCTGAACTTCAGCGGAAGTGAAAGCAAGTTGTTGGCAGTTTGTGCAGCCTTCTGGTCACTCGACGCTTGGCTTTGTCCACCGGAGGATGCAGTATGAACTGCCGGCTAAAATTGCCCGTGCATCGCTCCGGGCCCGACGAAGCATGGTCCCCGAAAAAAATTTCGACCCTGTCATCATGCTTCGTCGGATTGGACAGTGACCTCACGGTTGACCAAAGCTTACTCACACAGCAGGTCTTCAGATGCTCTTCCCACTTCTTCCNCAAGACTCCCTCTGGGGGTTGTTTTATTTTTCTGAGTTTGCTCGATTTGTCTGTAAACATTACCGACGAGTGTCGACCACTCAGATAATTTGCCGACCACCGTTTGAGCCTCTGTGGGAGAGACGAAGCCTCTATATCTTCTTGTAGCGTGGAATGGCTGACAGTCTCAAACGCCTTTGACAGGTCCAACGCTACTAGAATAGTTCTCTCACAGAGACGGTTACGGTTAAGGCCACGAGTTATCTGAGTGTTTATGGCGTTAAGTGCTGTTATTGGACTATGCACTTTATGGAAACCATGCTGATGCTTTACTGGGGTCAGGTGGTTCGTGAAATACGGGTGCAACAAGGCCTCTAGTGTCTCCGCTGCCGGGTAAAGGAGTGTTATCAGTCGATACGAATCTCCTTTGTTGGCTGGTTTCCCCGGTTTGACAGTGGGACCACTCTTCCCACCTTCCAGATGTCTGGGATGATAAGAGTGGCCATTGACAAATTGAGGACCTCCGTTAGGTACGCTACTCCCACAGGACCCACATTTTTCAGCATCGACATGCATATTCCGTCGGGACCCATGGCTTTGGAGACTTTCGCCTTCCCGATGGCCACCTGAACTTCAGCGGAAGTGAAAGCAAGTTGTTGGCAGTTTGTGCAGCCTTCTGGTCACTCGACGCTTGGCTTTGTCCACCGGAGGATGCAGTATGAACTGCCGGCTAAAATTGCCCGTGCATCGCTCCGGGCCCGACGAAGCATGGTCCCCGAAAAAAATTTCGACCCTGTCATCATGCTTCGTCGGATTGGACAGTGACCTCACGGTTGACCAAAGCTTACTCACACAGCAGGTCTTCAGATGCTCTTCCCACTTCTTCCGTTCATGTACGTTCACTAGTTGCCGAATCTCCGCGTTGAAATCCCTGAATCGACCTAACGAAGGCTGTCACGCTCATCGGCTAGAACAGCCGCTTCAGCAGGGAAATTTGGACGTGGGTCCGTTATGCATCCTGCAGGTACGAAGTGAGCTGCAGCAGCGGTGACAGCCCTGCGGAACTTACTTTTCAGTAAATTCCGCGAAGTCTTTCCAATCAGCTTTAGAAAAGTTGATATAGGTCCGGTGTTCCGCGGAAGCAAAGTCGGTTGGTTTATCGATCGAGATGACTATGGGCAGAAGGTCCGATGCCAAAGTCAGAGTAGGTCGCCATGATACGCTGTTTATCAGACCAGCCCTGACTATTGTTATGCCTAGCGAGCTGCAGCAGCTGTCCATAATCCTGGTGGGTGCGTCGTCGTTCATTGTGCAGAATGTCAAATCGTCTATCTGCTCTGCCAAGTCTGTTCTCCTACGATCGTTTGACAGGCTTGAGTGCCAAAGATCGTGGTGCGCATTAAGGTTACCTACTACCATACGGTTTTCAGCTCTGAGGAGCGCACCTATATCAGGGTGATATCCAGCCGGGCAGCAGGTGACAGGGGGTATGTACACATTAAATATTTCGAGCTCAACATTGCCTGACCGGATAGCAATACCCTGACATTATAGGGAGGTATCCCTGCGGTCTATGTCTGCTAGAATAAGACGATACTGCACGTTTAGTAATGCGGGGTGCGAGAGATGTGTGTGGCATTGACGCCATTGGCTGTGTGCGCTGCTATGGTGGATGCCGCCCTGTGGTGGTAGTGGGTGGCGTCGCAGTGCGGTTTGGCGACCGTGCAGCGGAACACGGGCCCTCGAATTTCCTCAATTCCTCATGCCCTAAAGTGGCACCAGCCAAGGCAGGTGTTGCACTTGACTGATGTCACATTACGGAATATCCTGGTCTGACATACCGTGCAGATTGTAGGAGGAACCAGGAGTTGTTGGCGGCGGCGTTTGGGTGGTGGTGCGGTTGTGTATGTTCTCTGGTCTGTCGTGGTTGTGGTGTGGTCTATTGTGTTGTTATGTTGTGGTGCTGTGGTGTTTGTGTGGAGCTGCTCAGCTGGACTGGGGTTAGCCGTGTAGGCCACAAACGGCGTAGTCCACTGCCGATGTGTCCGTTATCCTGAGCAGACTCTGAGGTGACTCCACCCCTCGCAAGCATTGCACTTGACTGAGGTGGAGTTGTGATGTAGTCGTCTCTGGCATACACAGCAGGTGTAGGTTTCTGGCCCTGGGTTTGACTCGATGCCAGCCCTGAGCAGAAGAATACGTAGCAAATGTAGCCCTATAGACGAACAACTTCTAAGTTGCATACGTACAAAGAAAAAAGGTTCCGTAACGCCGAACTACAAAATATTGACAATGTATACTTTTCCAAAACGCATCCGAAAAGTTATCGAAGCGCATCGCTAGAGCAATCAGAGTATCAACAGCCCTTGGTCGGGTAAAACCCGAGTCATTCCGGTACGTAGAACCGACTTGATGCATTTCTGAACACAACCCCTTCCTTTTCGACAAACTTATATCACTATTTTAACCCTCTACTTTTTATTCCTGTGTAGTAGGTTATACTGATTCATTATCTTGTTCTTGTTTTTGCTTTTCCTTTTACTAGAAAAACCTCAAAAG